CAGAAAGACCAAAAAAGATGCATATAATGCACAGATATTAGTAATCCTATTAGCCTCTCCTATTTATGTAGCTCTTGTTTTATATTTATTTTCGCAAAAGATGATAGTGATATTAATATAATAGTGAAATTTATATGACTTAACCTTTGTTGTGGACTACATCTTGAAGACCCACTCTCTGCAAACGAATCTGTCTTTTTATATTTATTATCCTTTTCCATTATCTATTGCCCTTTTTACCTTTTTTTAATTTCAATTTGAGATCTTCAAATTTAGAGCAATAGTGCATTGTGTAAATCAGGTGGAAAAAAATTAAAAGATACCAATGGCTTTCTTTCCTTTTTTCTTTGTAGGGGAAATCAGTATAAAACCAAAACCATGAGTAACTGAATTTTATTTGCATTAAACTTGAATTAAGTGGTCACTTAAAAAACCCAACAGTTTAACGGCAACGTGCAGGGTGTGTATTTGAGAATAATCCATGCTCAATCTAGTATTTGCATGGCTTGTTCCTTGGGATCAAGGTGGCTGGTTTAATTGAGCCTCCCCTGGACCTGAGCCTAGGAAAAACAGGCAGATGAGCATCGATAAACTATGAAATGGTTCCAATATAACCAATCAATGAGGCGTTGTGAGCAGCTCCCACAGGGCTTTGATTTTTCTCTCAAACAACAATCCGGGAGCTCTGCTTTTCAAAGGCAACCCCGACTTTGCCGTTATTGTTGTTCCTTTCCACATGTTTGAGTGATGTCAACCAGGTCGATTTCATCTGTGTCCATAAAGGCTCTCTCACACTTTAGTCACCTGGGAGACAACTTCTGTCAGTGTGTGCAATGGTAACAACCAATAAAGGTCAATCTCCCATGGCAATAGCCAATTGGGTTGGTTCCCATTATTGCCCCTCTGAGTTGTGGTCAACAGATGGAGAACTGACTTCACTGAACCCTTTACAAACAAACCTTTAGAAAATATAGCTCTATATGTATGCATGACTGCCTGGCTTTAATTAATTTTGTTGGGTGTTGGTCTGCACAATAGTTGATCATATGCAGCTTCTGATTAAGGGGGGGGGGGATCTTAGTAAAGTTATAGGAGTACTGCTACTGTGGGCTAAGCATCTAACCATTTCATCTAATTGCCTCATTAATGATTCACTGGTGGTAGGCTGCTGTAGCGCCTCGCTGTGGTGAGCAAATTGTTTTGATTGGTTTGCTTCTGTCAATTATTGATGAGGCAGAGTGCTGAAGTGCTAACACCTGGCTTTGGAGGTCCAAATGACCCTGCATCCCATTGCATTGTTATCACAAAATCAGTCTTGAAGGGTTTGAGGCTCAGTGATTGTTGTTCTTAGACAGAGGTTAGAGAATGTCCCATATTAGATGTTATTAGATTTTAGCGCAAAGATGAAGAAAACACCACTATTTTTGATTGGGGAAAAAAAACATAATTTATACAGTGACACAATACCATCATCTATCCCTATGACTTTGAAAATATGTGTTCAATAAATAAGAATTATAAGAAAAATAATATCATTTGTAAAGTTGTGTACGATAAATATGGCTATGTACAGTGGTTGCAAACAGTATTTTCCTAATTTTAGGCTTCTTTGGTAGTTTGTCACACAGAAACTATTTGGACCTTCAAACTCATATTAGACAAAGATAACTTAGAATCAGTTTTGATGTGATGATTTGATTATAAAATGAAAATAGTGGCTTATGCCAATTGGTGGCAACAACTTACTATCCCACTCTTAACTGCAGAACAGCTATAACTGCAGTATTTTAGGATTTTCAAAAAAAAATTGGGTTTGTCTCAGCTCATGCCTCAATATTATTAACTAGATTGTTGTCCAGACTTTGATAAGGACTTTTTTAGAGAATGATAATTTGCTTCAGATCATTGTCCTGCTGCATAACCTCAATGTGGTTTGATTAATTGTGGCAAGTCATCCAGCTTTTAAAACACAATATTTGTCCTAGTCCATGTTTTCTCTGCACTGGTGGCCTTTATACCAAGTATTCATAGAGCATATGAAGAGACAGAGAGAAGGGGAATATTGGAGCCCATTATAATCAATCCTAAGCTCTGCCCATGAAGTATTTTCTATTACTCAATAATAAAGACCAACCTGAATTACCGGTAACTCTTTTTTAATTTGTAATTGAAAAATTGTTATAATAAGATTCACTTCAGGCTTAAAGATCATTTACCTTGCTGCAATTATAATATATTTTTAGCTAAATGGTAAAAATGCTTCAGAGAAAATTAATTCACTGTTTTTCAGTTACATGGGTTATGTGCACTTCAAAACCTAGAAAAACATATATATTTTTATTATTTACTTCCTTGTTTTCTTTTTTTGTAAAAATGTGGTGTTCCTGAGTTTTGAGTGTAAGATAAAAAAAAGAGTAGAAATATAAACAAACGTGTAAGTATGTACCATCTCCTGCTGCTGAAGCTGCATCTCTTCCAGCATCTAGTCCTGTTTTAGCACAGAGATACTTCACAAATCTATGTGTGGCTGGCAAACATTCTATAACTCCCTACCAGATCTAAATAATACTTGATAATACCCTCAAAATTCTCTTCATCAATGTTTCTTTTCACAGAAACATTACAGCCTTCTCTTTATGTTTTCAATTTTCTTACATAGCGATTTACCCCCATCAGTGCAGTTTTATATTTATATATATATATATATATATATATATATATATATATATATATATATATATATATATATATATATATATATATATATATATATATATATATATATATATATATATATATATATATATACTGTTTATCTATTGGTATATTTAACAGCCTGAATATCAAATTTCACAGAAATCCAGGAAATGACTCACCTGCAGTGGCATAAATCCTTTCATAAGGCGCACATCCAAGAGGCCTCATTCATGTGGGTCTCACAGCCAACATACTGTTCTAGGATCTGTAGGATCTGGTATATATATACAAGTCCGGCTCTTGAAATCCTGTATTGCTCATATTGTCATAGTGATCAAAGAGATCTTCTCACAAGTTCTTTTCTCACAAGAAAAGAAACAAGTAAATGCCAGGTGTGTATAGGGACATTACACATGAGAAAACAAATACAGAGTGGTGAAAGGTTGGTATGTCAAAAAGGAGGAAAATAAAAATAAATTAATACATTGATAACTTCAATCTGTCAATAACATATTCTGTTTGAACTGCTTTTTGGTTTTCATTTTCCTTTATTAGGATGTTGTTATGTTCTTTTCCCCTCTGAATTAAATGAGGTCTTCATTAAAAGGGCACATAATTTTTTCCATAATGGCTGATTGGCTGCAGGTGAAATGCTTTCTAGGATTAATATCAATATAACCTGCACAAGAGCAGGTTTGCAAGTATGTTACTATGATGACTAGCCTCACTAAGAATAAATCCAGGTTAGTTCATGACAAAAGTAATTGCATCTTTAGCAAATATGAATAAAATACTTAAAAAAAAACATTACATGGATTTTCCACCTACCATGTTTTCTTTTATAATTACACAAGGTGTGCAGTTATATTTTCGGATGGGATCAAGTTGGCTTAGATACCTTTTTTCTCTAATGTGGGAAGTCATTATTTGAAAACTGCTCTTTGTGCTTAGAAGGGTCATTTTTGTATATTGTTAAACATAGTTTGATCTAAAACATATGACAAAAAGCAGTAACACATGAAATGTGTAATACTTCATCTAAGCTACATATTCAGAACTGTGCTTGAAAGTTAAGATACCCTATTAAAGACAGAAAAAAAATCAGCTGCCCGTAAGATTAATTAAAATTTAAGAAAAGTAATAATACATTTAAATAGAAAATGGAAATCATGACATTGATTTTTAATATTTATATGTATACATACCTATGTATGAATTGATAAATAAGTAAACACGTCTAATAGAGCTCCTGAACAAAAATTTGGCTGAACAACACTTTGAGGTAGTCAAACAAATCAGGTGTTTTCTGTAATATTCAGGAAATGTTCAGTGAGTACTTTCACTTGTCTGGGACAGCTTGTTTTTTAGAATTACTTTTGAAAAAAAAATTCTAAATCAATATTTTAGTCTACAAAATTATAATTTACTAAATTTGCATTTATCATTACTTTTTTCAGTTTTGTGTTATTTGAATACTAGTGTGTTTCTATCTTTTTCTTTAATGGGGGGTATGCAAACTTTGAAGCACAACCGTATATATTCATGATTTACAGGCATGAGGGGAAAAGTGCAATGCAACGTCAATAATTTCTTTGTTTATGGTGATTTATTATAGGTGCAGAGAGAACCTTTAGAATCATTTAATTGGCTCTCCAGTTAGCTGAATTCCACTGCAGACTAGAGTATGTGTCTAAAAGCCCACCCACAGGCATGCTTCCTGGCAACATGAATTATCCTGGCACTTTGTAGATTGTTAAATAGTCTTTATTTGAACGGTTCCAGACACAAAATTAGTCTAGTAAAAACTGCATTTTCAAATTTTCTTTTAAATATAAAAACCCCAAACAGACTGACCGATATAAAGTGGATTAAATGTAGACATGCTGTGCAGGAATTTGCTCATCTTTGCTTGCCCTTAATTGAAGATGATTATGGAGTCACCCTCCATGCTGATGCCACTGTCACCCCGAATCTTAGCCAAGCTGGCTTGCAATGTACACTCACAGGGTGGTCACTCCGTCTTTGCTTCTAAACTGGCACCGGTCACAGCAGAGCCTACTCCCCCTCTTCAAATACAATTCTTGTGACTCACTGTATGTGTGTGAGAATAAACCCTTACAGACAAGGCAGGAAATATATAAGGGTCCTAAAAGGGTTACAATGTTGATTTCACTTTGTTTCATATTGGATCTTATGAGTGTGCTTGTTCCTGCATGTGTGAATGGTAGTGTAATGTATTTTGTGTCACAATTTATTGTTTTTTGCCCTCTAACCTTTATCCTTTTTTCCATTTTTGTTTACAGATAACACAACGATAGCGATTGCATCCAAGCGGTAGACCACTTGCACCAAGAAACCTACAAAGCACAACATCAATGATGAAGAACAGCAAAGAGGACCTACTAGAATCTCTCCAACCCGCCCACTGAAGATCTTAAAAGTCACCTTTTTTTTTTTTCAATTTTCCTCCTTGGTATTTTACCTGCAGCTTTTCTACAAAACAAGAGAAAATAAGAAAAAAATAAGAGACTCATAATCATGAGATGATTGAGAACAGCAGATAAATACTTTAGAGAGACTATTTTCTTTCGAGTGTGAAGATCAATGATGCATGCTTCTGTAAATAAATCATGACAACACCCTTTTTCCTGAAATAGGCAGCATATCCGGTTGCTGTCACCAAATTCATAAACCTTATTACTGTGGAGTGAGTACTCATAAATTGATTTACCTCACAAAACCTAAACACTTTTTATCAACCCAAAGCCCATGAAATGTTCATTTGAAATAGGATTTTATTGTCTTTAGTATTATTTTACAAGAGACAGCCAAATCTTCCTGTTTAATATCCACATAATTATATGTACATAGAAATTAGTGAAGACAGCAGCATGGACAAACCTATAGTGTAACTGTAAACTAGTAAACCACTCAGTATCTCATTATTGCATAACTTAGTTAATGAATTTGGGTTTTCTTTGTCTTCAGTAAATTTCATATGTTTGATATTAAGTAATTTTTGTTGTATTTGAATAGATACTTAAACATAGGCATTAAAAGCTGGAAATAATCTGGTTTTGTCTTTTTGCTATACCTGGAAAGTCAGGTGAATGGGAAAAATTATTGTCCTGACAAAAACTAAAATGTTTAAGAAAACACATATTTTTTAATGTTAATGTTGGACCTTTTTTCCTTGTATATAATTCCCAATGCAATAACTGTGCCCCCTCTAAATGTCAATTTCTGCTGTAAGCAAAGCTTCTGAGCGTCTGAGTGGAACTGAAGCTTTTTTTTTTTTTTTTTTTTTTTTGCACAGTTCCAAACTGTGCTCTATACCTGAGCCTACAGATGAGGATCCAAAATGGAATTCCTCCCTAACTGCAATATGGATATGAGGACTTATCCCCTGTCTTCCATGAACTTTGATAGTAACCAAATGCACTGAGAGATAAAATACCCAGCCAACGAACAGATGACCTCAATGATTAGTCCCTTGTCAATGAAGGCAGAAAATATTTGCATGAACAGCAGGGGAAACCTATTGTAGCTTGTTGGACAGATATTCTTCGCCACTGCACACCCTCTCTACCTCTTGAGATATTTATGTCCTGTTAATGGCTCCTTCAGTTATCCCAACAGTTCACGTATCTGTTGCATGTTCCAGAGTTCCACAAAGAAGGTTCAGCACTGAATCCTGTGTAGTGATGTGGAAAACATTGATTATTTCCTTTGAACTAAATACACCCATTGCTTGTTGCTGTATATATGTACACTAGGATGAGTATGTGTAGTCTCAGATGCTGTACTCTGCATGTTAACTTGTAGATGGAACATAACAACTACTCATATATAAGGACATGCAGATTGAAGCACTACGTTGGTTTAACATCCCCTTATTTTTGTCCTGAGAATGTACAGTACCATGATAACAACAAATATTTTAGTTTCTCTCATTATTAACTGGATAACTAATTATCTTTAAACCTATTAAAGTGAATCACACTCTTCCTTTTAATTTCTGAGACCTGCCCATAGCAAGCTCTAGGAGGAGAATGGAAGTGGGAGTTGGATTGGGGTCTCTCACTTACTGTAAGTGCCAGAAAGCAAATAAGCATGTCACATCTTGCCAACAATTGTGTATTCATCAAGTGTCAAAAAACGTATACATTTCTATGAGCCTACAGTACACACTGGCAGACAGGTCCAAGAGCAAAGAGTGAGACAGAAGGCAAGACCTAAGAGAAAAAAGGAAAATAGTGGCTGAATTCACTAAGACAATATTGAAGTATTTTAGTGGCCTGACCAAGTACGTGATCACTTATTTCCTGACCTCCGTGGAGAGCTGAACAACCCCTTGACCTCAAACTGTTATACCATAATGTAGCTCTCTGGGCTGCTATGACCTCACGTCCTGTCTGAGGTTAACTTTGTGTTAATGAGAAGACCCCTTAGCTCAACCAGATGTTCAGCCTTCTGGTTAAATACCTGTAACCCTCTGTGATTTAAAAAAAAAAAAATGCTCACTGCATCTGCTTGATTTCTAGAAATATTGATAAAAATACTTCCCCAACTAAATAACTGAATTGATGCAAACCTTTCAATCCCTCTTCTAAGATCAAAAGTGGTTTCATTCTGCCAAAAAAAAAACTACAAGTCTTACTTTAAATCCTGCACATGAAATCAAAACACATTCCACACACACATTACTGTATGTCTTGCTGTATGTTGTGAGGACCATGTACCGACTCCCATAGACTTCCATTGATTTTTAATTATTTCCAATCCTTTCTATGTTCTAACTCTGAAAATATCCCTAAATCTAATCATTACCCATGCATCCTTAACCCTATTCTTAACCTAAACTCAGTTCACACCTTGGTTCTAAACCAAACCTTTTCCAATTTTCCAAAAAACAAACAAAAAAGACAGGAAGTGAGGAACAGCAAAATGCCTTGACTTTGGTACAAACCGTCCTCAGTTTGAAGGTGAAATTACCAAAATCGTCTTCACTCTGATGCCAAACAGGACTACAAACACACACACCTTTTTCATCAGACTATGTCCTACAGTACTGTGGTGCCAACGATGAAAATATTTTTTTGTTAAATTTTGCATGTCAGATCAAGTAAAAATATTTACAGTCTGGTAAGCAATTTAGGACTTAGGTCTTAGCTGTGATTAGTTAAAGAAGATTTAAAACTCAGAAAAGGATGAAGATGCCACTCAAAAAGGATACACATGAAAACAAACAAGACACTGATGGAGTCTCTCCAAGGCTTGCTTAGACAAGAAACAAAGTCCTTTTACTTTTGAAAATTTGTCAGTGTGACTGGTAGATATACTTTTTTCTAATTTATTTCGGTGAATACTCTTCATTTACCTGACTAGTACAAAAATGCAGTGTTTAACACTTCTATATGTAAAATGGGTATTGATGCACAAAAATACAGACAAAAAACACTTCCCTGGTCTTTCGCTTACACACACTCATATACACACATAAAAAAAAAAACAGTATGTTAATCAAAACAGAAAGGCTGTATGTAAACAGATCGCCTACATAAGGAGATTGTTCAGTGTGCAAACAATAGGCTGTTAGCATAATCACAGGTCAAAGATATATTACCCAGAGGGCCATGCTGTATGTATATTACCATGATGGATATGAAGAAGAGAGGAGGGGAGCAAGGGTAGTTCGATACTGAGCCTCACTAATTCCGATTTACCCCCTATCGGGCCTTATCCACCGCCCTCTATGGTAAGCTGTCCTTTTTAGACCACACTTAATCAGCCTCTCATCTTTTCCTTGTATTCCTATCTGCCTGTTTCTCAAAAACTTGGCTCCCCTTTCTCTTAGCCCCAGATTTCTTCTAATACCTAATTATCTAATTTCAACCCTTACCTACATATTTTCTATCCTTTCATCTCTTTTTCATCACCGTCTTTTCTTGGACAGATATAATCAGCTTCAGTAAAGTCATCAAATCCCTTTCTTTAGTCAGTGGGGTAACCAGATAAAGAAGCCCCTGCAATCTTGTTTTACGGATTTAACAAACAGAAGCCTGAGTGATACTAAGCTTTTTAACCTGCTACACACGTGTCTAATAAACAAGAGAAAGAAGCAGAAACATGTTTTGTGGGTCCATACCGGGTGATTCAAGATTATTTCTACAGTCAGTTAATCAAAAAGCTCACTGCTGATGAACATATCTCCATTTTACTTGACTATCATGTAATTCGTTATAATTCTGGATCATTAGGGTCATACTGTATGCCTACTTAAGCTTTATGCATCTCTTGACCCAACGATACATATTAGGCCAACAGTAATCCTGTCATGATTAGTGTTTCCTGTTTATAGTCGGAAGACAAAGAAGTCAAATTCCTGGTTAAAAAAAACCCCCAAAAAAACCCAGCAAAAGCTCCCCTTGAGGTTGAAATTGTTTCTGGGGAAGTTTGTATAGTAGCCCTGCATATATTATTCTTTGTTGCTAAAGAGAATACTTTAATGCACTCAACTCAGGTGTTACGAGAACTTTAGTTTTAATGTCCAACGTAAGCAAAAGGCATTTATTCACCCATGAAAATAAACAATAGTAGGACTAACTCATGTGTAGTGGCAGTTCTTTACTCAACAGCAGTACACCACTTATCTTGGATAATCAGCTTAGAACAATTTTTTTACCAGTACTTGCCAGTTAATATTTTTTAATCACTATTTTGAATAAAATCTGAGTTAAACTATTTATTTTAAAATAATTCACAGTGAAGTAACCAATGTCAATGACTTTTCTGTTTTTAATCCAAACCAACAGGGTGATGTACAATGTCTGATAAATGACTCAGACACATAAGTACAAAATAAATCAGGTACTATACTGTATGAACTGACACATTAAGGTGTTCATTCCAATTCTCTAAATCTGAGTAAAAAAAAAAATATTTCATACGTAGTAGATTGTGATGCACATATACAATGGATTAGATTTGTTTAAATAGCCAATCGGTAGCAAAGTCAGAGAAGGCCTCCTTATCTGACAGAGCTAATAACAGGGATGAATAACACAGCTTGTAAAGTCCTTGCACCCATCTTATTCTAGCCCATGCATAAGCTTGAGCTCTCTGCCAGCTTCACCAAAATGAGATGGGCTCCCAAGAAGATTGGGGGTGAAGGCAGGGGTAGAGAAAATCGGATTAACTACAATGCCTCAATTGTAAGAAATATCTGGGCTGACTCCAGTTAATTCCACTGACACATGTTGTAAACTAAATCCTTAATTTCTGACTAGGGATTGTTTGAAACCACAATTAACCGTGGTGAAATTGCTTAAATCAGTATTTTTTTCATTTTCAAGTTTTTCTAAAAGAGTTTGTACTGAGGCTAAATATTCTTAATGGCATTAGAAAAACAAATGATCAGCACTGGAGCCAGACAACCGAGAGCAAACTAAAAGTAGGCTAAATTTGACTAGATTCTAGTTCGCCTTCTTTGAGAAACAACTGATGCAGCAAATGTACATGAAAAATAGCGACTGAAGTCTTTGGTCATTGTTTACTTTACTTGAAGATCAAGTAGAGCCAGCCAGCAGGGTAAAAGGTAACAGTGATTATGTTTTAATCTTTCCCTGCCATCTGATGGGCTCAGATGGCAAGACTATGAGGATGATGATACTTAGGTTTGTCTTTAGCGTTTAAAATAAAGATTAAAGGGACTCAACTACTGTTGTAATGGAGACATGCTGTTTCTCCCTGCTGTGAGCAGGTTGTATTCCTTCCTTTTTTGAAGTAGTGAAAAGTAAGAGAGTCCAGAAAGTTACAAATATGGCCCTTCTGGGCTCCCTACAAAGCAGAGAAAAAAATAATGTCTTCCAATTGTTGTTTAAAGCTACAATTTTTCGCTTTATAAATTGTATATCATCACACTTTCCTGATAAAAATAGGGGACTGTAGTTATGCCTCTCAACATGCAAAAGAAAGTTTAGTTTTCAGCTTAGGTTTCTCCAAATGGCGAAAGGGAGCAACTTTCTCTACTTTGCATCCATCCATTGCATCAGTCAGTTTATCAGTTGTTAACATGCATTTAAGATAACTATGCTGATAAACAATTACAGGTTTATGATTACTAATCACAACTAGGGTCTTTATTGTTGCCCCCCTCCCATTTCAATCATTCTGTTGTATAACCACATTATTTCCCACATGTGCCTGAATGAGGGGTTTGATTTAAAAAAATCTGACCTTATGGCTAGCTGTGTTATTACCTGAGGGGTTGTAAGCTGCTGTAACAGATTCTGGGGTCTTATTACTAGGGCAATCAGCCCCTTGACACTTGGCCTTTCCTGACCCCAGTCAGAGATAAGCTTTATGGGAAAGTACATTAACACACTCTGGCAGTCACCCCCCTCTTTATAGAAAGCAGTCCTCAGAAATTAAGTGCTTATGGACCCCCAGTGAGAGGACAGTTCTGCTGATTGCCCATATTAGAGGCTGACTGTAAATGAACTGGAGATGGACAAAGAACTCGCAGTAGTGGGGGAAAGTGAGGATAGGATACTGATGTTCTTGCTAAATAAGCAATAGTTTTAATGACCTCAACATCCTTTGAAGAGGTTACCAGTCCCTACAAACACTTTAATGATAAATAAGTAGGAAAAACAAATTTTCTGACATCAACTTCATTATTTAAAAAAATGACACATAACAGGTTTATGATCATACAAAGTTATAAGTTTTTTTTCCTTTTCTGTTAGGAGACCTATGAACCAAAAGGTTCACCAGATACACTTTTTTAATCACTACTTTTTAATTCTATTATGGAAGTTTTACTGTAGCTATAAAAATGCAAAACATTTAAAAATAAAAATTCTATGTTAACCATTCTGAGTGCCTGCTTACAATCTGATTGTGTGTGTAAAATCCTCTCAGCATGTCTGCATTGATGGATGGTGATAGGCCCGAGTCTTTGTACACAACAGGGGGGGCCTACTCTTGTCACCGGACAGATACAGGGAGTTGCAAAGAGAAAGATGTAACCACAGCTTAATGTCTTTCTCTGGTGCTGTGCATGCTCTTTCCTATTTGCTTTTCCCTTCACGGCACGGTTAACATCGTAAATTAACCTTTCCAAGCCCCCTGTGCTTACAGACTAAGGCAAAACACAAAGGAAAAAAATAGTTCTTTGTTATGCAATATGGCGAGTGCTGGTCAGAGACATAGCCTGCTACATTGTTCAGTTTTTCATTTTTTCCAGTGATTGGGGATAAAACAATATACCTTGTTCATTCAAGCATATTTTATGTGCATGTCCTGTGTACTCGAATCCATACAAGGCTGCCTTTTGTTCTCCATCCTAGAAATGTAAATGTCGCACATGGAAACAAAAACCATATTAGATCCTTCTTTTATTGGTTCAATCCTGTAAATATGATGTAAATAGCAAACAGCTATGCATGCTAATATACAAACAATTTGTTCAGGTACTTTTTTAATCCAGACTTCTCATATGGCATGTAATAATGACAAAAAGCAAAAATTGAAGCAGCATAAAAATTGTAAAAAAAAAAAAAAAAAAAAAGTATATACATATGGTTTGTAATGATGTCAAAAATGGAAAAAAATGCCTTGGGTGGTTATGTTTTCTTACTGATAAGTAATGCATCAGTCGGCCATTTACTCCAGTGCTCCACTCATGTTATTTAATGTATTTTTATGTTCCATAAGGTGGGGTTAGGGTAAAACATGACCGTTGACTACTAGTCTGTGAAATAATGTCAGTAGTAATCACAGTGCGGACAAAAATTGTGTTTCTGTTGTTATATTGCTTTAATTTTCCATTGTCACTGCATGGTTACATGCATACTACTGGGTATGAAGCAACAACAAATAAATGTTTTGGAACGTATCTGCCATTAGAATTATCTCAGCAAGAAAAAAGGCATTTCACCAGCTTTACTAAGTTCAATTTTTGGAAAGACATGTTTCTGGAAAATAAATGCAAATTATAATAACAGAACAATTATTTTCAGCGATTAAAAGTTTTCCATGTATTACTAATATGGAAAGAGGACTCAAGTAAATTTTTTTTTATCAGATTTTTTTCTACTTTTGTAAAACAATGTACATTAAAAAAGACATGTATATCCAAATAAATCCTTTTGCCCTAGCAGCTTTATTGTGGCACTGCATGAACGAAGAAATGGAAAAAAACTGTATTTATTTATTTATTTTATTTTATTTTTTATTTTTTTGTGAGGGGTGGGTGATGGGGTGGTTTTTAAGAGTGTCGATTGTAAGCCATGCTAGACCATGTTAAATCCCAAGGCGCTCATGGTAGAGGGACGTATCTAATTTCTAACCTGTGCTAAAGATATTTTAAATTTAATAAATAAGTATTGTAACAAGAAATTATGTCATGTTGTGTGATGTTTTTGGATCTATAACTAGCCTTTCATAATTTCCATAAAGACTTTACTAAATACAATATATATTAAAACCTAAATTAGTTATTAGTTATATATATATATATATTTTATTTTTTTTTACTAAAAAACAGATTATATATATATATATAGTACATATTTAATCAAAAAACAGTATTGTTATATATATATATATATATATATATATATATATATATATATATATATATATATATATATATATATATATATATATATATATATATATATATATACACTCACCGGCCACTTTATTAGGTACCCCATGCTAGTAACGGGTTGGACCTTCTTTTGCCTTCAGAACTGCCTCGGTTCTTCTTGGCATAGATTCAACAAGGTGCAGGAAGCATTCCTCAGGGAGTTTGGTCCATATTGACATGATGGCATCACACAGTTGCCGCAGATTTGTCGGCTGTACATCCATGATGCGAATCTCCCGTTCCACCACATCCCAAAGATGCTCTATTGGATTGAGATCTGGTGACTGTGGAGGCCATTTGAGTACAGTGAACTCATTGTCATGTTCAAGAAACCAGTCTGAGATGATTCCAGCTTTATGACATGGCGCATTATCCTGCTGAAAGTAGCCATCAGAAGTTGGGTACATTGTGGTCATAAAGGGATGGACATGGTCAGCAACAATACTCAGATAGGCTGTGGCGTTGCAACGATGCTCAATTGGTACCAAGGGGCCCAAAGAGTGCCAAGAAAATATTCCCCACACCATGACACCACCACCACCAGCCTGAACCGTTGATACAAGGCAGGATGGATCCATGCTTTCATGTTGTAGACGCCAAATTCTGACCCTACCATCCGAATGTCGCAGCAGAAATCGAGACTCATCAGACCAGGCAACGTTTTTCCAATCTTCTATTGTCCAATTTCGATGAGCTTGTGCAAATTGTAGCCTCAGTTTCCTGTTCTTAGCTGAAAGGAGTGGCACCCGGTGTGGTCTTCTGCTGCTGTAGCCCATCTGCCTCAAAGTTCCACGTACTGTGCGTTCAGCGATGCTCTTCTGCCCACCTTGGTTGTAACGGGTGGTTATTTGAGTCACTGTTGCCCTTCTATCAGCTCGAACCAGTCTGGCCATTCTCCTCTGACCTCTGGCATAAACAGGGCATTTCCGCCCACAGAACTGCCGCTCACTGGATGTTTTTTCTTTTTCGGACCATTCTCTGTAAACCCTAGAGATGGTTGTGCGTGAAAATCCCAGTAGATCAGCAGTTTCTGAAATACTCAGACCAGCCCTTCTGGCACCAACAATCATGCCACGTTCAAAGTCACTCAAATCACCTTTCTTCCCCATACTGATGCTCGGTTTGAACTGCAGGAGATTGTCTTGACCATGTCTACATGCCTAAATGCACTGAGTTGCCGCCATGTGATTGGCTGCTTAGAAATTAAGTGTTAACGAGCAGTTGGACAGGTGTACCTAATAAAGTGGCCAGTGAGTGTATATATATATATATATATATATATATATATATATATATATATATATATATATATATATATATATATATATATATATATATATATAATACAATACGTTTTTTCACACATTGGAAGTCCAAAAAAAAATACATTTAATCTCTAACTGGGCAAATTATTATTTTTTGTTCTATTTAAACAAGCACTCATTTTGCACTATACAAAAGACATATCTTATGGTTAGGTGAAGGTTATCAGACACATCCTTTAATCAGCTGAGCCACTCATGGGTGGTAAGTTTGTGTTTTGCTCGTTTCTATAAATTGTTTACAAGGGGACACATTCAATTAGTTATTTCATTATCGCCTCAGGTGTAATCAATAGACAATGCCGATAACAAACCCACATCAATTTGTGAGCCAACTCCAGTGCATTTTTCAAAATGAGTGAGGGCCACATCTATTTCAGGCACCTGTGAGTCTTTGACTGATGCATCAGTAAAGCATGTACTTTTATATAACGGTCCGTTTCATCCTAAACCATGAGACTCTTTAGTTATTTGAGTGTTGTGACCACAAAGTCCACATGTAAAGTCTGTTTCACATCTCACAGTGAAGTTACACAAAGAAAGAATGAAGCACTGTTTTTTTTTTCCTGTCATCCCCTCTCTTTCCCCTTCTGTAGCACAGATAAACAATGCGACTGACAGTCTCTCATCACTCAAGAGGCTGAATCTCTGGCCCTGACCCGATAACATCAAGTGTGTGTGTCACCTGTCAAGTGGCTTCTGTCACACTTCAGTGGGAACTCAAAAACAAGACTCCCTGTGCATTTGTGTGCCTCAGAGACAGACTAAGTGTGTGAAGTCTATCGGGGGGATGGGGTTGTGGGTTTAAGAGTGCCTGTTGGCATGCAAGTGCATTCGTGGCAGGCTTGAGTGGCGCTCAAAGGGGTGGGGGTGGGGTGCGTGTGAAGGTAAGCCACATTATAAAAACAAAAAAAGTAGGGGGATGGCATAAAGACCCAAATGGGAAGGACTTGTGCAGACAGTGTGAAACCATCTTACTTTGTGGCTCTACTGGTCTCATTCTGGGGTTTGGAAGGGGAAGGGTTATGTGGGAAAGCAATTATTCCCCCCTATAAAAGGCAACATATGCCAAGACCATAAAAATTCGTACTGGACAGTAATTTATTAAAGCAAGTAATAGTAATGGAGAGTGTAAAGGCACAATATATAATACAATGGTGTCTTCCTGCTTCACATTAAGGACCTGGGTGTCAATGAAATTCAGAATTGTAGGTGCCTGACATTTAAGATTAGCAGAACAGAAAGATGTGCTCTCTTTAGAACATTTTGATTAATCTGGAAAATTTATAGTCTTAATATCTTTACTTAATTCTCCATTTGTTTCATGTGTTGTGCTAACTCATAAAGTCATAAAGTGTCACCCTAATTTAATGTAATGAGTGCATTGATTATACATGGGGTGTCTTGCGTGTCTTTCTTTTCTTTTTATGATGTTATACTTAAAAACAGCTTTTCAAATACATCAATGGCGAAGCTTTGAGGCCAGCAATAATAAAAGTAGTCCAAGCAGCCAACAGCTGCTACTGAGCCCAACAGGCATAAATAGATGAGTGATCTGAAGCAGATTGCTTTTTTTTTTTCTCTCAGCTGCAAATGTTTAAATCATTGTTGAGCTTTGAATGAGCAATAATAAACCATCATTGTGATCCTCACAATGGTAAATAATGTGGATTAGCCAGTAAGGGTGAAGGCTTTATGCAGGAACTTATCTGCATCATCTCATTATCTAATACACCAAGTGGAGGCGGAGATGATTCTGCAATGGCACAATTTTAACCAGAACAACGGAAATGTGTGCAAATGAGCAGGCAGATATATTCCATTGTCTGAGGTAATTGTGATGGTAAAATACAGGTTTTGTTGTTGTAAATTAGTCTTCGTTCAGACAAAGCAAAGTTTTTGTGTCTGTTTTTGAGATGAATACCATTACAAATGAGGTTGGACAAAACAACAGCAGAAAAGAGAAAAAGGCTCTGAGTTAGAGAGAGGGAGTGTTTGTGTAAACCCATTGTATAAACCCTAGCATGCATTTTATGCTTGTTGTCACCTTCATGGTGACAACCATGTTCTGAAAACAGCTAAGCAAAGTAAAAACAGGCTCTGCAACTGTTGTAAACAGATGTCATATCGCAGTGAGTTTGATGACAAATAAATAACTCAAGTAAATAACGTCAATAATAAGAGTAACATCCGTTTAGATAGACCCTTCCTTGGCACTAGCTATTGGAAACAATAGCTACAGAAAAATATCATATCTTTGGGACACAATGTTGCACATATTGAATTAGTGCACTTTCACAAAAGAGCATTTTTATCTTTTTTGCTTTTTTTTGACAGAAAACCATGATGTCTGCAAATCTTTAGATTCAATGTCTAGCCCACTGTGGGTAGCAAATACTGTTTGTGATTTAATCAAATAACCTTTAGACGGTCATATATTGTTCTGTGAACACATGCCCAACTATATGTTTGTTAGAAAAAGAAATGAAGGCATTGAATGGAGCTCAAACAGTTAACTGTACTCTCATGGAATAAACCCATTAGTTTAACTGAAACTAAGCTACAATGTAGACAAAGGATAGGAAATAAAAATGGTCAAAACCCATGATCAATAAAATTATCCAATTATATCACAGTTTGATATGAATATATGTTCAGGAACTAAGATCTATATTTAAGAGTTTCATATACGGTAATGTTAAACTAGTTTTAAAGCTCAATTCAGAGCAATTGGGATGTGTTCAAACCAATCGACAATGACAATCGAAGGATGTTATCGTATGATTTGCTTAATAAGAAATCAGTAACCTCTTAGTTAATTGATTCTTAACCTTGTGTAATTGCCCCTTTTTGAATATCTCTAAGATAAAACCAACCTAGCTTCTTTAGGCTTGGCTCATTAAACAGGTGAGCTAGTAGCTTGCAGACTTATTTAAAAGGACTCTTCTCATCATACTTTGGCAGTCAAATGTAATAACCATATCAGAAAATACATAAACTTAAATATTATATTAGTGCTTAAACCTTATTGAAAAGAGGACGAGTCAAGCATGAGTCAGCTGCTTTGTCCCCAAGCACAGTGGGGGGAAGGCTCTCATGTTCCCTGTGGGAATGCCTTGTAATTGTCCTGTGTGGGAGACAATATCAAATTTTTTTGACAACGCCTAAAAATAGTCTAGTTTAAGAAACTTTCTATTTCACCATAGGTTTTATATTATGCAAAATCATTATATATTGTATTGCCTGATGAAAAACAGCAACAAATTTAACAACACTCATAAGCTTAAGTAAGGACAGGGACGGGGGACTGCCTAGTGGTTCGAGCATGGCACTCATGTTCTGAAGGTTTCCTGGTTCGAATACCCTCTGGGCCCTCCAGCAAACCCTGAATGGTTCCCCGGGTGTTGCACAGTAGCAGCACATTG